CCAGTGCTGCCGCGGCCCCCCCTCCCCTGCCGCCTCGGAAAATGGCTTGGCGGGCTGCATGGTGGCCCGTGGGTCATATGTTGGACAAGCCTGCTCTAGGCTAATTCATGTGGAAGTCATTTCCCCTCAATCCAACCCCATCCCTCCCCCCCACCCCCCGAGTATGGGGCTCTGTTTATTACCCCTCTCCCACCTGACCTGAGAGGGAAGGTAAAAAGCCAGCTGTCACCTGGGGCTGGAGGAAGAGGAAGGGGTGAAAAAGATTGGAAAATTATTCCTGCCCTCAGGATATCAAAACCCTCACGAGTGAGCGCAAGGACTGGCATGTCCCAGGGCAGAGGACCGGTGCTCTGCTGAACAACAAGGGTCTCTGGCAGAGTGGCAGAGCTGTTCTGCAGCTGTGGGGCAAGGAGTTGATGAGGACACGCTGCTCATTTCAGCCCAACTCATTAGCCACAAATCATCCCCTCGCAGTGCATTTCACGGAGGGATGAGGGCTGAAACAGTTGGGCTTTTCTTTCAAAGTCCAGCAACCATTTAGGGATGGCCAAAGGTGGCCAACCTGTGACATGGGTACCTTACGTGGCACAGGAAACCTCTGTGTATGGCACAGGGCAGACTGTGGAGGGGACAAGCAACACAGAAATAGATAGGGCAGGGAGCAGATCAGGGAAGGAGCACAGGGCCATGCGATCAAAGCAGGGCAATAGACTGAGTGAAGGAAAAGGATCAGAGTTGCATTCGAGGATGATGCACAGTTAATTTGTGGCACACCTGTCAAAAAGCCTGGCACCTGCTGGCACTCACAGGCCCCATGCCACAGCAGTGGTGGGTCTCAGGGAGGATGGTGCTAAGCACTCCGCACATCCCTACATCTGCTGATGCTCTGGACCCAGGGGTTGCTGCTCTCCCTAAGCTGGGTATTTGGTTTTGCCCACACATCCTGCCTGTCAAGCAAACACTTCACATTCAACTGCCATGAAATGGGACACTGGGAAAGCTTTGGCATTCAGGAACAAGCCTCAAGCCAAGGCTTCCTCTTGCAGGGTATCCTGCCCCCATCTGTTGGGCAGCAGCTCATGACCCCTTGAAAGTAAAAGGGCTGCCCCAGCTGTGAGCCAATATTACAGCTGATGGCACAAGCACCACATGCAGGCACGCACTCAGAACAGGTCAGGTCTTGCACACCTTGCACCAGCTTAGATTTAGTGTCCTGCACTTCCCAGGTTACTGAGCAGCTGCTAGCCTGAAATGAGAAGCAGGGAAATGCCTGGCTAGGAGGAGAGCCATGTAACTGGCAAACTAGCACTCCACAAGACCAAGTGACAGAGGCTTTTGTGGGAGGCATTTCTTTAAGGAGTAACAGAGATGCTGGTGCTGGACCCAGAGTTTGGGGTTCGGACAGAACTTCTCCGCTGCTTTAGACACAAGGGGCTTTGACTGGCCTCAGGATCCCCTGGGGGATTTGCTGTGACCCTCCTTTTTGGGCTCCAGAAACAGAATGGAGCCATCCTCCCGCTTTCCAGAGCTCAGGAAGGCCGTGGTGAAGTGGAGAGCAGTGCTCGTGCCACTGTGCATCCTCAGCACTGGCAGGTGTACAAGTCATCTCATTTGTAGGATCATTTCAACCCTTGTACAATGTACAATCAATAACAGTTAAAGTGTTCAAAACGAAGTATAATTGTTGAGGCAGCTCATTGCCTGGGGTTTTGCATACGCTACATCAATCTGAGAGCCCTAACTGGCTTTTGGGCTCACGGTCAACACTTTCCTATGACGGCTCACCTCAAAAATAAAGAAATGCTTCAACTTGGACCCAGGTCTCACTCGCTCACTCACTACCGTGTTAGAGTGAGCAAGAGAAAGTAAAGACTTATTTGCATATTTTTAGGGTACGATCATCGCACCTGCTGAAAAGTTATTTTAAGCTACGATAATTTAATATTTCAGATCGGGCAACGCTGGGGTTTGCCTCGTGAAGCCTATCGGCAGCTCCCGGACACCCCACGCCTGCACCAGGAGGGCGCGACAGGAGCTCAGGCGGCCTTATCCACGTACTTCCTGATGCCCCGGAGTGAGCCCGCCGCGCCACGCCCCGCCCTCACGGGTGCAA